ACGGAACCTTCTCCAGAATAGATCACATCCTGGGCCATAAATCTAGTCTTGGTAAATTCAAAAAAATTGAAATCATTCCAGTCATCTTTTCTGACCACAGTGCAGTAAGATTAGATCTCAATTACAGGAAAAAAATTATTAAAAATTCATGATTTACCTTTAAAAAAAATAACAAAGGTAAAAAAAATATACTGAAAAAAAGAAAATACTCATTTGGAGACAAGGAAGAAAATAAGGGAATAAAAGATGCCTTTATAGTGAATAAAGATAAGATCTATCACTTCTTCCTAAAGTCTTTGATAAAACATTCATAATAAAAACTATTGTTCAGTCATCCATCTTACAGCTTTAGGGTTCTGTATCTGCAGAATGGTAATTGGGCTCAGAGCGCAATTTGTGCCATGGCGGACACAAATCCGAGTAAGACAACAATTTGAGTGTAAGGTACAATCAGAAAAAAAAAAGATTAGGAAAAACTATGCATGTTTTCTATAAATAAACAAAGGAACTTTTCCTGTCCAGTGCTGTGCAAGTCATAGCAGATGAAACAGCCTGACTGCAGGTTTCCCACAGTGTTCAAGAGAAGCCCAGTGAGGCTGCTCACTGACATTCTACCCATGAGGGCCAGGCCGCTGTGTCTGACCCCAGATGTGCTTTAGGAGGAAGACCACAGCAAACCTCCAGGCAGGAAGTCCAGCCTTTTCAGGAGATGAGCTTAAGTCCTACGTCTAAAAATGAAATGTGAAAACCAAGGAACTGTTAGGAGGAGACAGTCTTTGGGATCTGGAGTTAGGTGAAGAGTTCCCGGAAATGATACCAACAACATGGTCCATAAAAGCAGCTCAAGATTAAGTATTAATGAAAAAACAGGTTGCAGACTAGGAGGAAATACTCATAAAACACATGTGTAACCAAGGACATATATCCAAATCATCTAAAGAACTCTCAAAACTAAAAACCTCAGCGACCAAATTTTAAAATTGACAGAAGACTTGAACCAACTATTCACAAAGAAGATAGACATATGGTGAATATGCACATGTAAAGGACATCATTACCCACTCATTTCAGTTCATTCAGTTCAGTCGCTCAGTGTGTCCGACTCTTTGAGACCCCATGAATCGCAGCACGCCAGGCCTCCCTGTCCATCACCAACTCCCAGAGTCCACTCAAACACTAGGGAAAAGCAAATAAAAACCAGAATGAGGTGCCACAATACCTTCATCAAAATGGCAAAGATAGCCACAGTACCAGGTGTGCTAGGGCGGACCCAAGGGACGAGGACAGTTGCCCATTGCTGATAGAAAGGCCAAACTGGATAGACGCTCTGGAAAATGTCTTGGCAATTTCTTATAAAGTTAAACATAGAGTTGCCATGTGACCTAGCAGTGCCAATCCTGGGTGTTTCCCTTGGAGAAATGAAAATGTACAACCACACAAAAACCTGGGCACAAGTGTTTACAGCAACTTCATTTGCAACAACCCAAAGTGGGAAGGCACCCACATTTCCTTCCCAGGGTGAGCAGATAAACAGGCTGGGGTGCATCCATCCAGTGGAACACCGCTCAGCAGTGACTGATAGATACACACAACAGCCTGGAGGCGTCTCAGAGATGTCCTGCTAAGTGGGAGAAGGCAGCTTCAGAAGGTGATGTGCTATATGAGTCCATGTCTCTTGAAGAGACAAAAGTGTTGTGTCAGAGGACAGAGTAGTGGCTGCTGGGGGCTGGGGGAGGGTAAGGTGGCGACACAGCAGAGACAGAGCATGAGGGAGTGTGGTATGGTGAGGGAGCTCTCCCCTGTCTTGCCCAAGGCCCCACAGATCTACACATATGTGTATGAACCATCATGGGACTGGCCACCAATGGAAAACAGTTAATTTTACTGTTTCACAACAGAAAACAAAGGGACGACAGATGTACCCAAGGGGCCATTGAGAAGGGGGAAAAGGTCAAATGGAGGGAGCTTGGTGAGGCCCCCGGGGCTCATCTTCTGGGCTTATATGGGGGGTGAAATGAAGTCTTTCTGGTATGACAGCAACAGACACAGAACCCGTCTGGGCGAGGCAGCAGGGAAGCCTCCTGGCCTCAATGTGCAAGTTCACGGAGGGCCTGGGTCCCCTGGGCAGCCTGAGTTGCCAGGGAGCACGATCCCCAGCCTCTGGCTACATAACCCCTAGCAGGATGGGCAGTACCTGGGGAGAGGGGACATGCTCATGAGCTGGGGCGGCCTTACTGCCCCCTGGCAGGTGGAGGGGAGGTGGGCAGAGTGCAGGCCAGCTGAGTGAGCTCAGGATTCAGGGAAATGGCTGCTCTCCACCCTGAGGGCAGCCCTGGCTGCAGGGATCCCACCAGGAGCAGTGGGTCCTCTTTACATGCTAGCCACATCCAGGCCTGGCACCCACTTACATGCAGAGATCCAGGATGAAGTCAGCCATGCCTCCCCTAAAGACCTTTCTTCTCTCTTCCTGCCCTCAGGTTGTGTGTGTCCCCCTGTGGATTCTTATGTCCTTTCTGTGTCTGGTGGTCCTCTACTACATCGTGTGGTCTGTCCTGTTCCTGCGCTCCATGGATGTGATCGCAGAGCAGAGGAGGACACACATCACCATGGCGCTAAGCTGGATGACCATCGTGGTGCCACTCCTTACTTTTGAGGTAAGCTCTCTGGCAGACTGTGTCTCCCCCAGATGACACCCCATGGGGCTAGGAAGGAGCACAGGACAGTAGAGTTGCCTTTCTTTGGAGATCTGGAGGCTGGCAGTGGGAAGTGGACCTTTCCAGCTACCAAGCATCTGAATATATTGATTTGTCTTCTAGAAAAAGAAAGTTGGATGTGGTGTTTTGGTATTTGAGCCCTGTGGAGAATTAGAGAGTGGGCACTGTTGACTCCTCCAAAAAAAACACCAGGAAGAGTTTCCCATAACAAGCCAGATGTTGGAAATTTTCTAGGTGGATGGATTCTGCTTCGTCCTGAAGAGCCATGTGAAAGCTCTTCTCATCCTTTCCCCCAGAATGGAGGGTTTCCATTATTTCCTGTGGTGTGACCTTTCCCCCTTAGGAGGCCTGATGAGGGAGGGTAGCCTGGCTTCAGACAGGGTCTGTTTTCAGACGCTCCATCAACAGAACATTGACTGTTTCTTTTTCTTTAGATCCTGCTTGTTCATAAGCTGGATGGCCACAACGCGTTCTCCTGTATCCCCATATTTGTCCCCCTTTGGCTTTCCTTGATCACTCTGATGGCAACTACCTTCGGACAGAAAGGCGGAAACCACTGTATGTACTTAGTGTTTCGGAAGTCCTTGAATGGTGGGTGTGCACATCTCTGTCTGGTGTGTGGCTATATGGGTGTGTGTGGCCCTGCTCTATGAAAAAACGAACCTGAGGACCCCAATCAAGGAGTTTCCCTGGGGAAGCTGAGACTGGGGAAGACCTAGAGTCTTCCAGGAAAGGGAGCACTGTTAACCCTGTGACTGGAGAACTGAGCATGGCGGGCGGCCTCTCTTGAGTTCATTCATTGTGACATAGGAAACATTATCCCTTCTAGCCAGGGTCTCCTGAAAATTCAGTGAAAATCCACATCATCTCCCAAATCCTGGACTTCCTCTGGGATCTGTTTCCTCACTCTTGGCAGCATCATTCTTGATATCACTGACTCTCACCAGTGGTGCCCTGCTCGCTCGCTCTCACTCTCCACTGTGATGATACCTGTTTAGAAGTGCTCTTTGATAAGAGCCTCGCCTCACTAGTCGTTGAGCTCCTTTGCATGTAACCCTGGAGCACACCCATCTGGAAGCTAATGTGACAAGATGTTGTACCCGAGGAAAGCCAGCTTTGACCTGACGGTTTAGTGGTACCCAGACAGGAAGAGCAGGCCTTGGAGAAGGAGCTTTGAGGTGGCCCTGTGAGCTCAGGCCACCTCCTGGCCTGGACCAACACATGCCTATTGTCTTCCCAGACTCCAGGGGTGACAGAAACCCTTTTCTTGGATGACATTCCTTGTTGCACATGCTTTTCTCCTGGGCCAGGAAGATTGAGTGGTTGACATTATCTAGGTGCCATAGGCATTTGAGATTCACTAGGGCAGTAGGTCTCAAACTGGAGGACCCATCAGAGTCCAGGCCCAAGATCACATCCCTGACAGGCCCCAGGGAGACATCCTGGGGGCTGCCAGTCCAGGACCCCCAGCTACAGAGCCACAGAGCTGCAGGGCATCCTTCTGGTCCTTGTTGGTATTGAGGCCTTGCTCAGGCTTCATTCTAAGATATCAGGATAAAGCAGTACATTATACAAGAAAAAACTTATCTTCAGGAAAGAAAAGAAACCTGAGATTCAGGGGAGGGTAGTGTTTGAGAGAGTACATTTCTTCTGTTTCAGGGTGGTTTGGGATTCGCAAGGATTTCTGTCAGTTTCTGCTTGAAATCTGCCCGTTTTTGAGAGAATATGGAAACATCTCCTACGACCTCCACCATGAAGGTAGTGAGGAAACTGAAGAAACGCCAGTTCCAGAACCTCCTAAGATCGCTCCTATGTTTCGAAAGAAGACCCGGGTGGTTATCACCCAGAGCCCTGGGAAGTACGTCCTCCCACCTCCCAAATTAAATATCGAAATGCCAGATTAGACCATGCTCCCAGGGCAGATCAAGAGTGCACCTGACCCCCCCCCTCTTTTCCACCTTTTTCTGCCTCTCCGTTCACCCCCTCCCTCCCACCCTGAACTGGAGCTGGAGCTGGAGCTGGGTCTCCAGGGACTTCCATCTCATGCCTTGTTTGCACTCAATGCCTACCCAGTGACTCACCACCACGGGACACGCGGCTGGCAGATGCCTGGAACATGCAGCGTGGTGTGGGGTGCACATCAGCAGCTTTGGACCTGATGGAGCATATGGAGATAGAGGAAGCAACTCCCTGTGGGCAGGTGCCTTCAGAGCTGGCTTGGGCCCGAGAAGGAATGGCCACACAGCTGGTTTTCTAAGTGTGAAAATTCCCATCAAAAGTGTTATTGAAAAATGTATTATTGAACCAAGCCAGCCTGGCCACTTAGCTCAGAAACTCCTGTTGTGATGTGGTCAGGGGCCCTAACTAGGCCTCAGGCCTCACATGCACCCACACTGCTGTGATTGGCCGTGCTCCTGCCATGCACATCATTTCTCTCTGGGTTTTTACTGACCCCGTTGGTGAGCCCTTTCTAATGGAGTGACTGTGCCTGTATAGTATTTATACAAATATTTTAGCGTTGTAATATACCGTGTTAAATCCTAGTTCTGTACAGTATATTCTGTTAAAGTATTTTTTTACAAGCTTGTACTGGAGACATACATGTTCTGTTGCAGAAGTAGAAGCCAGTAGCACCACACCCCTGTCCTAACCACTGGAGTGCTATCCCCTTCATGGGACAGTGCCATCTCCTCTTCAGTTTCTCCATATACATAGTAGTTCCTGCTGCCAGAACCACCACAGTAAGCAAGAAACGGTTTGTACTTTTTCTACCATAACTGGGAATACTGACTTGCAGAAAACCGTAAAGCACGCCTGGAAACTGGAACGCTGGACAAGGGTGCCAAGACTAGGAATGTCCAGCAGCGTGTACAGGTTGAGATGTGGGGCTTGTTGTCCATTGCACGGTGGACCTATGCTTTTAGCTAGGAGCTTGGGGTATAACTAAGAGTCAGAAGGAAAAAAGCAAATGTGATACAAACAAGATGGCCATGAGTAGAAGAGGGTAAAAGGAGCCCCAGCTTTGTCACCCAGGAGCAGGGGAGAGGGGGAGAGAGGGCAACTGCTACCTTGTGTAAACCGGGTTCCGCTGATGTACACTGCACCCACCATTCCATCCTGGCACCAGCCTGGAGCAAGCCTGTGCTATCTGCAGGGGGACACTTGGAATGGTGTTGCCTTTCCTGCTTGTTATGTAACAAATGTAGCCCAGTCCACTCTTTTCCTCCCCTTTAGCTGTTCAATAAACTAGTTCTTCATTTTCCATGTGCACTGTGCAGGTCTTGCTTTAGATGAGGACCAGGATGCTGGGAGTTCTCTCAGCCAGCACAAAAGGGAATCTCGAGCTGCCACGGCCAGCTGATGGGAGCAGGGGTGGGTGAGCATCTCTCAGGAGTATGCAGGGACAGCCAGGACATACAAAGGGGAAAGGGCGGGCCCAGGGATTCAACCATTGGCAGGGAGTGCCCTGCCACAATCCTGACAGCTGAGGACGCAGCCGAGAGTGTTTGCAGGGTCCCAGACAGTCTAAAATGGAACTTGGCTTTTCAGGGGTCCGAGGCATCCCCAGGTCATGTGGGAGGACACTGAGTAGGGCTTCTGTCTGTGGGAAAACTGGACAATTCTATCTAACTTGCCCGAGCTGTGTCTAGAGACATTTAACTCAGGTGGTGTTTCAGCCCCCAGTTTGCAAGAATCGATAAGGAAGCCCACCCCTCACTGGTGACGGCAGGCTTCCAGCACGGAGCCAGGGTCGACCAGATCAGTGCTTATGCGCCCTTAGATGCAGACATGCTGTGAGACACAGCACGCTTCGCCATAACCACGTGGCAGACTTAAGTGTCTGGAACCTCACCACCTCCTGTATCTCCCCTGAGTCCACAGGACCCCGTGAGGCAGGTTCCCCTAGGATTACCTGTGTGGGAAAGCAGAGGCTCAGAATGGGTAAGCCAGGCAGCTGGGGATCAGCAGGGCAGCCATGCCCACCTTGGCATCTCCTCACTCGAGCCCTCTCTCTCACCCACTGGGCCAGGCTCCTGGGCCGGATGGCTGAGACCTGAAGGTCAGAGGCATTTCTGATTCTTGAAATCTCGGGAAGATCTTCAACCCCAGGAGCAGAGTTGAGGTGGGGGGTATTAGTGGAGTGGGCCACCCTGCATGGCCGCTTCTTTGATGCTAGAGCACCAGGCCGTAGAGCAGGATGGCAGCTCTCACAGCCTGGACACAGAGCCGGACGGAGTTCCCATGGATGGCAGTCAGAGGAAAGAGAGCCACACTGTGTGTGAAGGCCCAAGGTAACCACCCCCTCCCGCGTGCCTGGGACCATGGTATGCAGAGCAAGGACGGCCTGGGGTAGACATGGGCAGGCTGCAGAGCCCAGAGAATGGCAACCTGTCCTCCTGTGTCCCTGGGACCTCGTCCGTAGCCTCTACAGCCCCCACCCTGGGGCTCCTGCAGACCGATGCCAGGGCCCAGAGAGGGTCTGTGTAGGGGACTGGCTGCCCAGCCAGGGACAGTGCACAGAGGGCCAGGTGGCTGTACCCTTGACCATGGACTCCCACCCTGGACATGGCTGTGCTTGAGTGCAAGGGTGCCATGCTGAACCCTCAAGGCACCTATGAACACAGAGGAGGGGCTGACTTTGAGGGTCACATGTCTGTCAGTGCACATCTGCCCAGCCCTGGGGCTCTAGGACCAGAAGGCCATGCCCGGTTTGCATGAGTGCTCAGCCTGGGACTTCACGCCCATGCACAAGTGTCATGGGGCCCACTGCCATGATGAGCGTGGACCAGGAGACTGACATGCTGACCAGCCTGGGTACAGCCAGCCATTTATTAAGTCACTTAATGACTGCCTTGTGATGTCAGCCCTGAGGAAGCAGAGGCCTTTGGTGAGGGGCCGAGCACCCTTGTGAGCCTGGACTGCTCCTGGCCATTGCACTGTCCCATTTCCAGGAAGGAGGGATGCACCACCCTCCGTGTGGCCGTGGACAAGGAGAGTGCCATGATGGACGCGGTGCCCAGCTTCCGGGGGGCTCCCTTTCTTCCAAACACAGGGCCTCCAGCCCTTGGCTCAGGGAGCTGCGACCTTCCCCGCGGACCTTTCCGTCGCCCTGGCACAGCCTGTGCCCATGGACCACCGCAGCTTCAGGCTGCTGCTGGAAGAGAGCACTTTCCAGGCTTTGAGGGAAGCGCCTTTGTTCAAGAGGCTGCACACCGAGTGTGCTGCCCTGCCTGGGGGAGAGGGCAGCCTCCTCTCCCTCCCCTTTCCCAGGAAGCAGTGGACCATCATCAACAGTCACTACTTTATGTCCTCCTGGTGGGAGGAAGACGGCACTTGCGTAGGCATCAATAAGGAGCTCTTCAAGAACATGGAGAGGGTGGGCTCAAACAAGTTATTTGAGACAGACTGCATGAAGAGCTTCGTCTGCCAGCTTAGCCTGTACGGATTCAGCAAAGTGCACCAGGATGTGCTCACCTCCCTCTGCCTGACCACCCTGCTCAGGGAGAAGCCGCCTGTCTGTCCTGAGCAAGGTAAGGGCGGGAGAGTACCTGCTGGGCCCTGGGGGCAGGGTGGGTGCCAACCTCAGGGCCGCCAGGGACCGTGGCTGGCCTGCCGGGAAAGGTGTGTGTAAAGACAGAACTGGGGACCAGCATGACTGCCTGAGCTGCCAGTGCTGAGTGCTGTGTTGGGGAGTTGTGAGGGAGAGATCCTAAGCGTTCTCAGCACAAAGAAGTCACTGCCCCTCTCTTTCTCCGGTGGGGATGTCTGTGTGAGATGATGGAGGTGAGCTGAATGCACAGTAAGGATCAGGTCAGGATACCTGGGGGCCAGGAGTCACTCTGTACCACTGACCCGTGGGCCCTTAGATTGCAGTCACACCGGGGAAAGAGATGACACCGCTCACATGCTGGACCTTCCTCTCCTCCAGCCAGGGCACAAATGGGCCCAGGGCGGAGGCAGGTGGGGGGAGGGGTTTGTGTGCCCTCATGATTCCCTCAGGGCTCAGACCTGAAAGAACCCGCCTGCACGGTGGGAGACCTGGAGTCGATCCCTGGGTTGGAAGATCTCCTGGAGGAGGGCATGGCAACCCACTCCAGTATTCTTGCTGGGAGAATCCCCACAGACAGAGGAGTCTGGTGGGCTACTGTCCATGGGGTCGCAAAGAGTCGCACATGACTGAGTGACTAAGCACATGACTCCCATAGCTGTGGAGCAGAAGTTTAGTGCAGGGAAGCACAGGCCCTTTGCTGGGAAGTGTCCTGCTCAGCCGAGAAGTGCAGGCCAGGGGTCGACACCTGCATAGAAAACAGAGAAGCTTGTGCACTCTGCCTGCTGCAAATGCCAAGTCCCCTCTCTGGGCCTTGTGCGAATACTCTTGGGCCACTCTGTCATTTTCCAAGGTCGAGAGGTGATGAGTTACTGAGTCTTGAGGATGGGCAAGCTGGGGCACTGCCTCCTGTGGGACAGGGTCCCGCTTTCTCCATGAGGCCTGGGGATGGCTGGGTGAGGGCACCCAGGGGCCTAGCTGGGAGAGTACTGGTTTCAGTAAGCCTTTTGAGACTTGGATTTTGCTATTCTCTCTCTCGGTGAACCCCAGTTACAGTTCTGCTGCAGTCTCCTGTTTAAGAGAGACAGCCCACACCTCCTGGGGAAGATGAAGAGGAGAGTGGGAGTTAAGTCTGCGTCTCGGCAGGTGAGGGGCAGGCCGGCAGCCCTGGGCGTCCCTCCTGCGCCCAGCACCGTGCAGCCACAGGATGGCCTGTCACCTTGCCTTGAGGTTGCCCAGGGGACCGTGAGCCACCTGAAACTTGTCCCTGCCACTGGCCTGGCCAGGATCCATGTCACCCCTTCTGCTGGTCTGGGGACAGCAGCCCCACTCCCCTTGATGGGTCCTGACACCTGGCAGCCCGAGGGCCTGCAGGTTTCAGTCTCTCTAGTCCCTGTCCTGACAGGTGGCCCTGCCTATTGAGAGCCTGAGGCTCTGCTTCACCTGGCCCCCTGCCCAGATGGCTCCTCCCGTGATGGTGGTGGGCCCCACCACTGTGCCTACGCAGATCTTCAGCCTGCCACGTGGGCAGCTCCCAGTGGCCATGCTGGTGCCTCTGTGCACCACCTGGATGTCCGTCATGGCTGCCGGACCAGACCCCAAGCTGACCTGACTGCTCAGGCCCAGAACCCCTTCTACTACAGCTCAGGCAGCCCCTCTTTCCCATAATCTCCAGCCATTCTTTCCCGTAATCCCCACCCCCCTCAGGTGTGCCCCCAGAGGACCCCAAATATGCACCCTATTCAGACAAATAAGAGGCGGCCCTGTGGTCAGAACACTGCAGGGCAATAGAGAGCCTGAAAACATGAGGGAGTTCCCACCCAGCACACATCAGCGCCTCCATGCTGGGCCTGGCTGAGCATTTGATTCCCCTCAGGCAGCTGCTTGCTCGGGAAGGCAAGACAGATGGCCGCTCACCCCCGGCACAATGCAGGCACCTCATACACACCCGGGGAAACTGCTCAGATGCTCTGCACCTGCTCACTGAAAAGACCCATCAAGGGCTGGACAAGAGCCTGACTAAGTGGCTTCATGGTCACAGGGACACTGTCCAGCAGGCTCCTCACTTGACAGATGAGAAGTTAGGCCTCCCCTTGTCAGGGACCTGAAAAGAGCCCTTACTGTCCTAAGATGCACAGGACTGGAGCCTGTGGTCCCTGCCCGAGGCCTGCGGGTGTTCAGTTTGGAGACTCGCTGGTGTCTGGACAGCAGGCCCGAGGATTGGCTTCATAGCAAGTTCTGTATCAGGTGACATTTTCTTGTTTCTCTTCTCTTCCTTTTTCAGCTGAGCACTCCGAGGGTGTCACACCTCAGCACCTTCTGATCACTGGGGTGTCCAGTTTATAATACACTTTCTCTTAAAAGAGTGTTTCTCCTGAGGAGCATAGCAAATAGCTCTCCAGGGTCATGCTGCAGAGACAAGAGCTCCAAGGTCAGGAGAGGGGAGAGCATGCACACCAGTCCACAGGAAATGAAAGGCTGGGTCTCCCTTGTTGGCAGTCTGGTGCAGGCAGAGGAGGCCCCTGAGAAAGGACACGGGGAGGTGCAGGCCAGGCCTCTGTCAGCCCCAGCACTGAACTGCCATGACGCCCGACCAGGCTGCTCACTTCCAAGCCCCTTATGAAGGTTTGCTGCCTGGGGAACGCCTTAACTTTTCAGAAGATTTCATTTGTTTTTTTGTTTGACTTCCGTATGCCACCTGACCTGGAATCACACA